CTTAGAATAGTCTTAGCACTCAGATCGCTTTGTGCAAGAGGGCCCCGATGATTGAAAACTGCCTTGGGGATGTTGTTCCAAATGTCAAGCAAAGATTGGCCCAACTGAGTTGGCGTTGCAGGTTGATCTGGTCCTGTCGTAGTCGTTGTTTATCTCATTCCAGAAATGTTCTATGGGGGAGAGGTCTGGAGAAACAGCCGGCCATGGTAGTACAACAAAGTTATGTTGCCTCAAAGTATGTTTCAAGATATATTACAACATTATGGGCCTCAGGGAAGCTTTCAAAGGTTTTATGGTAGACATGTGGACGGCATTTCCAGATTTGACGCATCAGTTACAAAAACAATGTCCGATGTAATTCCCTATTTTGACTTGAACAATATGTTCATAGGTGTTTTCAGGTAAAGAATTTGATTTACTTTTGTATGTCGGGTGTGACGGGTGCCACCGCTCGGGCAGGATACGCTCATCTTTCGCAAACTCCTGTTGTCATCACTATTTGATATTGATTCATGAACATCACCTCATAGTATAGCCGGAATCGTACAATCGACGATTTAAGCAGAGATTTCTTATGAAAATGGAAAGGGTTGTGTCGTTTTTTATTTACAACACGTCAAAAGACGGTTCTGCCTACCTGCCAAACAAGGGTTGAATGATATAAGATCTCTCCTCTCAAAAGACAATTCTGCCTACCTAGCCAAGCACGGGTTGAATGATAAAACATCTCTCAGTTCTGCCTACCTACCCCAAGCAGGGGCAGAGTGATATATATTGAACGGGAGGTTAAATACGCACTTATTGCCTTTTGCTTGTAAAACTCATAATCTTTGGCAGTTTCTGGAAGTAATCGTAAATGTAGTTTAATTTCTATATAATTACCTATTCTTTCTGTAAACTACAACATTGGCTAAACATATTGTTTTCCAAATTTTCCAATTAATTATTCTTTTCACTTTTCTATTTCTCGTTACAAACAAATTTTCCCGTGGTGCATTTTCGTTATGTTCTCATATTGTGCCAAGCTTTGACTGATGAAGTGTCCTCTCTCAGCAAGCTATCTCAACTGTCTTTGATTCATCTTTTCCTTGATGGTAGCATATTACTGTTATGTTTGTGATTGATTTGCATAGCCAAAATAGTCATATTGTGTTGCATTTTACTTGTTAATTGCAATCCACTGCGAGATCTCGCGCATTGCATGACATGAGGTTATTCTGTTTGGTACACATTGTGGTGCAATTGAGTGTTTCCAATGAAATTTTTTTCTTGCTTTTTTTTCAAATAATATGTTTGCTACAGTGTTTATCGCAGTACATATAAGTATTTTTAATTACTGTTACGAGTCAGAATATCTAGTTTTACTCGTGTTTCACTGCTAATCTGCCTTGTGCACTTTCAGTTGTTTATATGAATGCCGTATGTAAAATTTCAAACTTCGCTATCATTTACATTGAAAGTAGTATTATTATTTCAAGTTATAGGTGATGATGTCAATGTGTTGGGAAGTAGTACTGTATCATTTCCGTTATATTCTAGTAAGTAAACCTAATTATTTTACTTTGTCAATGAGTAGTAATGTCACCATTTAGACTTTGTCATGTTTCCGTAGTCATTATTTGCTGGAGACAGTAGTGGTCTTTTCACAGGAGTCATGATGACAGTGGTCATCAAAGTGCAGAGCAGACCTTGCCATATATATCAAGATATCTCGAACAATACTGTTCAGTGTTAATGCTGTATGCTTGGAAAGTATGGGGGATAAAACAGCCTATGGTTCTATCATCGCATCAAAACCTCTGGAGATTCTTGCCATATGGACTTCTGTGTTGGAGAAGAGATACCACTGAATTCAAAATGTCCATGTTCTCATTCACATGTTCCCCAAGCTTACTCGGCCTTGTACTACTTCAGATCAAACAGCAAGAAAAAACAGTAGCGAAGATCCTTGTCAAGGAGTGGTTTGGTTTATAAAGTGCGATGTCATTATTAGGCATCACAGCGACCAGAAGCTGAAGTGGCCCATCCTGCTCCCAGAACGTTTTGCATATAACTGCACTCCACTCGCCTCAACTGGAAACTCTCCATACCAGCTGTTCTTTTTCCGGGAACCTATCAGGAGCAGACATCCTTACAACAAGCCAGCAAACAAACAGAAGAAGCTACATCAAAACGAATGACTGTCCTGAACAATATTGCCAATGTTGATTGGATCCCCACACGTGCCGGAATCTTGCTGAAGAACCATCAACCGGTTGGACATAAGATCCTGGATATATGGCATCCAGAACCCTAAAAAGTGGTTGGAAAACGAGAGCCAAACATCGACATCATTACTCCATTAAATGGTGATGGAGTCAAGAGAGTTCATCATTCAGAAATGCTGACTTCTCATACTCTTGTGCCGGACATTCAACCAGTCTCCCTGGATCTACAGGTCGAAGTGGCAGATGATGTTTGTTGGGAAGATTCAACTAAACAGGTCAGCGAGTTGCCTGAATCCAGTCTGTTTGTCCTGTAACCCGGAAGGATTTTATCTAGCCGTAATTTCCACAAATATCAATCAAATTGGGTATACGTTCATAACATATGTCTTACAGTGAGCAAAGATTTTACTGCATTATGGATGAATTTCCAAATCAAAAGTAGAATAGGGATGTCAGAAAAAACAACGATAGTGCTCTGAGAAAGTATCGTTAACAATAGCTATGTACACACACGTATTGGTTTCAGAACGTCAAGAGGCAATTGGTCACTGTTATTGCCCATATCAAGGGTGTGAATGTGCATTTAATACCAATGAGTTCTGTTTAATACGTCTGAACTGTCAACAATGAGGGGATTGTCTTGTTTAGACTCGATATGTACAGACCGTCGTCACATATGCAGCCAGGAAACATAACACAACACATGTACAAGATGATGGAGAAATATCAAAGGCAGAAGGAGAGGGTGTGACTCTGCTCCATGAAGTATGAGGGGAACCTGATAAACATGATGATGAACCCTCAGATGATGGAGAAATATCAAAGGCAGAAGGAGAGGGTGTGACTCTGCTCCATGAAGTATCAGGGGAACCTGATAAACATGATGATGAACCCTCAGATGATGGAGAAATACCAAAGGCAGAAGGAGAGGGTGTGACTCTGCTCCATGAAGTATCAGGGGAACCTGATAAACATGATGATGAACCCTCAGATGATGGAGAAATATCAAAGGCAGAAGGAGAGGGTGTGACTCTGCTCCATGAAGTATCAGGGGAACCTGATAAACATGATGATGAACCCTCAGATGATGGAGAAATACCAAAGGCAGAAGGAGAGGGTGTGACTCTGCTCCATGAAGTATCAGGGGAACCTGATAAACATGATGATGAACCCTCAGATGATGGAGAAATACCAAAGGCAGAAGGAGAGGGTGTGACTCTGCTCCATGAAGTATCAGGGGAACCTGATAAACATGATGATGAACCCTCAGATGATGGAGAAATATCAAAGGCAGAAGGAGAGGGTGTGACTCTGCTCCATGAAGTATCAGGGGAACCTGATAAACATGATGATGAACCCTCAGATGATGGAGAAATACCAAAGGCAGAAGGAGAGGGTGTGACTCTGCTCCATGAAGTATCAGGGGAACCTGATAAACATGATGATGAACCCTCAGATGATGGAGAAATATCAAAGGCAGAAGGAGAGGGTGTGACTCTGCTCCATGAAGTATGAGGGGAACCTGATAAACATGATGATGAACCCTCAGATGATGGAGAAATACCAAAGGCAGAAGGAGAGGGTGTGACTCTGCTCCATGAAGTATCAGGGGAACCTGATAAACATGATGATGAACCCTCAGATGATGGAGAAATACCAAAGGCAGAAGGAGAGGGTGTGACTCTGCTCCATGAAGTATCAGGGGAACCTGATAAACACGATGATGATCCCTCAGATGATGGAGAAATACCAAAGGCAGAAGGAGAGGGTGTGACTCTGCTCAATGAAGTATCGGGGGAACCTCATAAACATGATGATGGACCCTCAGATGATGGAGAAATACCAAAGGCAGTCACTGGGGAAGGGAAATTGGAATTAGACTCTTTGAAAAGCAATGCAGAAGAGAAAACAATCAATGGTAGTCTTCTGGATGAGGAGGCTAATTCAGAAACGTTCCAAGATGGCTGTGATGTTAGTCTTGATCTGCTCATGTCTGGAACAGAGGCTCCAGTGGCACTGTCCTCCTCAACTCCTGCTAGACAGGGAGGCCATACAATCTGTGATACTGAACACTTTCATCCAGGCCAACAGACACGTTTCAGGAACAACAAAAAACAACCAGAAGAAACAACATTTGTTGTTTATTCATGAAAGAAGAAATAAACACATCAAAACATAAGTAGGCTTTCAGCTCTCCTGGGTTTGTACAGAAACATGACGTTCCCAATCATCGGAAGATAAATAAATTAATGCGAAGATAGTCAGTCAATCAAATGTCTGGAATGTCAATATGTGACATATGTACATTTTGCAAACAATTGAATTGATATGTTTTCACCTAGGATAACATTACAAGATTCATATTAAAATATATTTTGAAGAACAGAGCTGAAAACATAACGACAAAATCGCTTACGGTATTGAGGTCGGCCAAGTCATGTCAATGATCATATTGGATGTAAGAAAATAGTATCATCTAGAGAGGTTGGATTAATGCACGGCTCCATTTTGTGAATGAACATGCAGGTACCAGTAAGTGATTTACAACAAGACGGATGAGTCAGTGTAACACAGCTTAGAATACAACAAAATGATTCGGAATAACATTGGTTTACACTTCAGAAAGGTTTATCTCAACGTGATAATTCACACGCATGATGGAAAAGTTGGTTGGTTGGTTGGTTGTTTTACGCCGCACTCAGCAATATTCAAGCTATATGACGGCGGTCTGTAAATAATCGAGTCTGGACCAGACAATCCAGTGATTGGCATGCATGTCATCGATCCCAATTACGTGGATCGATGACATGCATCAACCAAGTCAGAGAGCCTGACCACCCGATCCCGTTAGTCGCCTTTTACGACAAGCATAGTCGCCTATTACGGCAAGCATGGGTTGCTGAAGACCTATTCTATACCCCGGATTGAATTAACGTTTTTATGTCATTCTGAAGCATATTAAAGATGAAATATTATTTGAAACAAGTTGACATGGCTGATCTGTATCCTTTTGTTGGTTGATGTGTGTTGCTTAAGTCGAATGATATACATCGCGGTTGGTCGGGCAACACGTGTGTTCGGTATCAGGTTGACATAGCCCTCATCTTGGATTCTCACAACGTTGAGCGCCTCTAACATCGGGTGAATAAGGCCTTGTGGTTTGCTGATCTACATGTACTAATATGTCCCGTACACAAACTGGCTGGTGTCGACTAGACATGCCGTCTGAATAGCCTCCACCGTTGCTGGACCATCTACAAAGACAGAAATTGACTGAATGAGTGAGTATGGATGGTATTACGCTTTTAGCAATATTCCAGCGACATCACGGCGGGGGACACAAGAAATGGGCTTCACACATTGTACCCATGTCGGGAATCGAACCTGGGTCTTCCCCGCGACGAGCGAACGCTTTAACCACGAGGCTACCCAACACCCCCCTGAGCACTTGAACTGTAACAAGTTCGGGATTGATGTCCTGTGGATCGTTAGGTAGAATAGATAGTTGGTTGGTTGGTTGGTTGGTTGGTTTAACGCCGCACTCAGCAATATTCCAGCTATATGACGGCGGTCTGTAAATAATCGAGTCTGAACCAGACAATCCAGTGATTAATATCATGATCATCGATCCACGCAATTGGGATCGATGACATGCATCAACCAAGTCAGCGAGCCTGACAACCCGATCCCGTTAGTCGCTTTTTACGACAAGCATAGTCAGCTTTTACGGCAAGCATGGGTTGCTGAAGACCTTCTCTACCCGGGAATCTTCACGGGTCCATATGTGTCTATTTGACCGACCTTATGTCATTTAAAAGATCCCAATTAAAGACATCAAACCAGGTTTAATATCTATCCCTTAAGAGAAGGTATGCATGTGTCTTAAGACTTTCACTTTTAGATGAAAGAAAGCAAAGTGCTATATTATGACACTGGCAACATATTACGCTTGCAAAATGTAGGTGGCATATCATTGGCAAATGTAGAGGGTAATACCCAGAGGGAAGAATGTGTCCTTTGATATTTCCTTTCTGGCAGCCTCGATGGCGTGTTTCACAGCCAACAACGCTGATGTAGCCATGACCAGGGGCGGCTCGCCTACAGCTGAAACAGAAGACCATCGTGATCATTTATGTGAAAAAGAAGCAGCGGCAGGTTAACATAGTATTTTAGATTGGTGTTAGTAGGATACACAAGTGAACTAGTGTGAAGGGAGAATAAAAACATATCATGGTAGATAGTTAGTCGGTGGTTCATCATGGTAATACGTCTCTCAACTTTGAATTAGTTTGTATGGTTTATATTCAATATGTGATATCTATCAAAGTATTTTACTGTCCTTTTTCGGCAGGTATTCAATAACATGTCCCATCACTATGTGGCTTAAGATATTGCCAGTGCGATGTAAAATATTAACTCACTCACTCACTTAAAACATCACTCCATGTACTTTGAACTTTCATGTGAATGTACACAATGCGAAACCATCAGGTGTATTTGAAACCTTATCATGAGCATACGATCATGAATCCCCATCAAAATAATGATGATACCACGTGTTCGCGAAATGTATTCATGCAGTGGTAACCACACGTAGTCAACATTCTTATGTTGATATAGTCAGGTCTGCTACATACAGTGGTTGACATTTATGTAACTGTATGCAGTGATATCCACACGTAGTCAACATTCTTATGTTGATATAGTCAGGTCTGCTACATACAGTGGTTGACATTTATGTAATTGCATGCAGTGATATCCACACGTAGTCAACATTCTTGTGTTGATATAATCAGGGCTGCTATATACAGTGGATGACATTTATGTAATTGCATGCAGTGATATCCACACGTAGTCAACATTCTTGTGTTGATATAGTCAGGGCTGCTACATACAGTGGTTGACATTTATGTAATTGCATGCAGTGATATTCACACGTAGTCAACATTCCTATGTTGATATAGTCAGGGCTGCTATATACAGTGGATGACATTTATGTAACTGTATGCAGTGATATTCACACGTAGTCAACATTCTTGTGTTGATATAATCAGGGCTGCTATATACAGTGGATGACATTTATGTAACTGTATGCAGTGATATCCACACGTAGTCAACATTCCTATGTTGATATAGTCAGGTCTGCTACATACAGTGGTTGACATTTATGTAACTGTATGCAGTGATATCCACACGTAGTCAACATTCTTGTGTTGATATAGTCAGGGCTGCTACATACAGTGGTTGACATTTATGTAATTGCATGCAGTGGTATCCACACGTAGTCAACATTCCTATGTTGATATAGTCAGGGCTGCTACATACAGTGCCTGACATTTACCTTTTGCTCTCAGGACACCGCGTGGGTTGGGGGCATTCTTCAGGAACTGAATACGGAAGTCGATAGGAATGTCCTTTCCTAGTGGGGGCAGGTATTCCTGCGCAACACAGAATCTCATGTCAGCCACATAAACTTATATGCTACAATGCTATCACAAGTTTAAAGATGTGATGAAACTAGTTAAGCTGCAGTAAACTACGTATATAACGAACACGCTTATACCGAACTGACGGATATAACGAACTGTTTTGGGGTCACGTCCATTTCCTGTATATAGGCTGTATATGTGCCTTTAACCAACTTCGGTTATAACGAACTAAAATTAATGGTCTTTTTGAGTTCGTTATAACCGTAGTTTACTGAATATTAATTAATTAATATCCCATTAACTGTTGTAAGGGATAAATAATTAACATTTAAGAGCTATCTAGTTTGCAAAAGAGAAATATTAAACACAAACAAAGATCAGTATAAATGCCAGCACATTGCGTCAGGAGCATACTTATGTCGCAAAAGGCTGCCCACTTGCATATAAAGATGATATTGTGACCATGTTATCACGACCTGAATAACTTATATTTTTTATTGTGGATAATGAACGTAATTCACACTTTTTTATCCATTTTGAAAGAAAAACATCTGTGTGTGGTACTTGTGATGTTTCATTTGCTGCGATATTTCTGCCACGTGACACAATGTACCAATCCTACCCTAGACACGTCTTACCCATGTGCCATCAGTCAGGGCGGTGCCAGTCTTGGGGTCAAAGATCATCTGTTCGGTCATCCAGTAGCCAAGACCCATCACAAACCCACCCTCAGCTTGTCCCATGTCAATCTCAGGATTCATGCTGAACCAAGGGAGATAAAACAATGATTTAACTATTGCAAACGTATATCATTCCCTGATACGCTTGAAAGAGTGTTCGTACACAGTACAATAATTCTTGCAAAATATTCTTCTTCTTCAGACTGTTGTAAAATCAGAAATGGCCTTGCAGAAGACATACATTGCGGCAAAATGTTGTGGTTTACGAAACAAATATTTAGACTGATACTTAAAATATCATTCAGTCCTACAGATGTCTACTCTGTTGATCTCACCTCTCTCCACAGTCATACAGGATGTCAACTCTGTTGATCTCACCTCTCTCTACAGTCATACAGGATGTCCACCCTGTTTATCTCACCTCTCTCCACAGTCATACAGTATGTCCACTCTGTTGATCTCACCTCTCTAAACAGTCATACAGGATGACCACTCTGTTGATCTCACCTCTCTCCAAAGTCATACCGGATGTCCACTCTGTTGATCTCACCTCTCTCAACAGTCATACAGTATGTCCACTCTGTTGATCTCACCTCTCTCAACAGTCATACAGGATGTCCACTCTGTTGATCTCACCTCTCTCAACAGTCATACAGGATGTCCACTCTGTTGATCTCACCTCTCTCCACAGTCATACAGGATGTCCACTCTGTTGATCTCACCTCTCTTCACAGTCATACAGGATGTCTACTCTGTTGATCTCACCTCTCTACAAAGTCTGACAGTATGTCCACTCTGTTGATCTCACCTCTCTCCACAGTCATACAGGATGTCCACTCTGTTGATCTCACCTCTCTCCACAGTCATACAGGATGTCCACTCTGTTGATCTCACCTCTCACCACAGTCATACAGAAGGTCCACTCTGTTGATCTCACCTCTCTCCACAGTCATACAGGATGTCCACCCTGTTGATCTGGTTCTCCCCGGTCAGAACGTCTACCTCGACCTCTGTGCACGTTACACCGTAGATGTTGTAGTCAGAGAAGTCCCCAGAGGGGTACGTGCTGTTGAAAGCAATACAGGTACACTGACATTCATAAAATAGTGGATTGAGTGAGTATGGTTTTACGCCGCGTTTAACAATATTCCAGCAATATCACGGCGGAGGACACCAGAAATGGGCTTCACACATTGTACCATGTGGGGAATCGAACCCAGGTCTTCGACGTGACGAGCGAACGCTTTAACCACCAGGCTACCCCACCGCCCCCATAAAATAGTGGAGGAAGATACATTATATATAGATGTACCCCGCATAAATACACATGATAAAGCTTTCAGGGCGAATGGGGTGGTTACTAACATTACGAAGTTAAATATGTTTCTGTCCAAAGTACCTTCCGGATTGCAGACAGACAGACATTTTATTCGTATTATTTGGCGTTGAGGCCAATAGTACAGTGACAGATTTACAAAAGGTACATACAAGTCGCCTGTTAAATCAGTAACATAAAATTCTATATATGTGTAGGCAATTTGAATTTATATTTTGACACTTTAAAAAAAATGCGAGTCGTAAAATTATGTTTGTATTTTGGCGGTCTGTAAATAATCGAGTCTGGACCAGACAATGCAGTGATTAATATTATGAGCATCAATCCACGCCATTTGTATCGATGACATGCATCAACCAAGTCAGCAAGCCTGACCACCTGATCCGTTAGTCGCCTCTTACGACAAGCATAGTCGGCATAGATATTAGACCAAGCATATTTATTCTACTTCTTTGCCCAATGTGCACTTAAGCACTTTAATCAGTTCAGTGTTTCAAATTCAATTTAGCAAAGCAATTATACCATAACTTCGCTTCCATAATGTTATAGATATATCCAGATGTAAATCTATTTGTATTTATCCATTTGTATAAAATTGCTAGCGACTTACGAGCAACTGGCTGACAAGTCCACCCCTTCGCTGAAGCACTTAGCAACCAGCTTCTGCCAGGTAGGCTTGGTCATCTTGGCTTTGACCGGAGCCATCCGTGTCTTTAATAGTTGACAGCACTGCATGACTCCCTGTAGATGTTAAAGTTATAAATACGTTATTCTCATCAGGGACAAGCGTTAGCAAGTTGCCAAACATGTTGCGTGAAGTAATTAATGGTAACAGAATCAAGAGACAGTAAGGAACTTTTCAACATATTCAAATCTTTGAATTAATCAACGTACCAAATTGGCAATCTATAGACGTGCGTGCGTGCGTGCGTGTATTGAGAAAGGTTAAAGGGCAAGTTCACACGGAAATGAACCTATTTTTCTTGTACTTTTTCCACATTAAAAATGTTAACCTAGAAATGTCATAGACAAAAATATAAAAATATCACAATTAATTAACATTTTTTTCGCATTAAAACTATTATATTTTTCACATTTACCAAGTGTTCTATATCCATAGCAAAAACACCATGGCTTATGCCCCTTGCAATATGACGTCATTGGTGCCAATTGATAAACATTATGACGTCATCATGCTTTGTTAGAGCCGCTTCACGTGGTGTAGGTACAGGTGTGTGATTCTAGCGTCTCAGATGCCAGCAAGCATAGTGTTATGCTGAGTCACCACTGCGCCGGAGTGTGTCGTAGGCCATGTTGTTTTACCGCAAACTGGTACTTGATATCTTTTGCGTTGAGAATAGACAGGGACCCAGTTGGTTGAAATGGCACCAATTACGTCATAATCTAAGGGGGATAACTCAGGCCTGTTTAGCTTGAAAAACGAAGGCCTCATAACGGCATATCATTTTCACACTATTGTGAGCTTCCTACTTTCACTGTGAAAAAAATGAGTGTATATTTTCAAACACAGATACTAACTCATTCTAAAATTGTGTTTTGTATAGAAAAAGAAAGAAAGTGATTTTTGCGTGTACACTTCCCCTTTAAGGGGGTGAAGAGTTTTTTAAATGAAAGTTTGTTCAGATATATGCCCAAAATGAATAGTCTGTTGGCAGTGGTGATAACGATGAATAGTCTGTTGGCAGTGGTGATAACGATGAATAGTCTGTTGGCAGTGGTGATAACGATGAATAGTTTGTGGAAAATACCCAAACATCAAAACATGTTGTGTTAATAGTGACAATTGACTGTTTAATGGTTTTCAGTAAATAAAAAGTTTGTGATATAAAGCCGGGGAACAAAATATATTGTTATAAAAAAATACCCTCATGTATACCAGTTTTATGTGTCATTCGCTATTTACTTAATCCAATTGTCAAGACTTCAATTTCGATTAAAATAACAGTATCCTATATCTCTTCGGTGGTCTACACAAAACTATAACATCAGGTATTTGGATATAGTATCTAAATATCTTAAAATGAAAGAATGAGTTGAAAACGTGTCTTGCCGGATATATTTTATACTAGTTTAATACTATTTAATATTCCACGGCTTATCGCCTATTGTTTTCTTTTACGTTTGCTTCTCGCACTACTGGTTACGACTAGTTGTCTCGACCCGTGAAGATCCGGGGTGGAATAGGTCTTCAGCAACCCATGCTTGCCGTAAAAGGTGACTATGCTTGTCGCAAAAGGCGACTAACGGGATCGGGTGGTCAGGCTCGCTGACTTGGTTGATGCATGTCATCAATCCCAATTGCGTGGATCGATGCTCATGATATCAATCACTGGGTTGTCTGGTCCAGACTCGATTATTTACAGACCACCGTCATATAGCTGGAATATTGCTGAGTGCGGCGTTAAACAAACCAACCAACCAACCAACTAACCATCCTGTAAGTAGGATTTTGAGTGAAAGGTTGAAGTTCGATGTATTTCATGTATATCATTATATTAACGTCACGCCTAATGAGTGCAACCAAAAGGTGTCATTGTGACATCCAATTAATAAAGTAACAGTGTTAGGAAACTTTATTTAGTTAATCTATTCATGTATCTATGTAACAAGCTAAGTATTTGTATTTACTGGACTTTTAGTCACGCCGAGGGGAAACCATCTTGTTTCCTTGACTGGACAGCGATTTATATTGATGTCAACTTTTTTTAAAGGGTAAAAAACTACTTTTAACCCATGTACACTGCCTAAGTCTATTTTAATTTCATTTTGGTCAGGACCCTCGACACTAGTAGAAGATCATTTTGGTGTGAGATCATTGTTGTCGACTATTTGGTAACTTCTACACATCAACGCCAAAGAAACTCAATCTTGAATATATGCCTAAACATATTCCATAACACCTGTCTCTGTCCATGCTACTCTCAGATAGGTATCATTTCTAAATTTTTTTTAAAACATGCGACAACCACAAGGTTTCGGTTTGGTTTGGTATGTTGTTTTACGCCGCACTGAGCAATATTCCAGCTATATGACGGCGGTCTGTAATTATCGAGTCTGGACCAGACAATCCAGTGAGCCTGACTACCCGATCCCGTTAGTCGCCTTTTTCGACAAGCATAGTCGCCTTTTACGGCAAGCATGGGTTGCTGAAGACCTATTCTACCCCGGAATCTTCACGGGTGACGTAGGATAATTAAAAGTTGTCTAAAGGGGTCATTTGCAGTCTGAGTCGCATATCAAAAGCTATATTATCCAGTATAGAAGTGACCAAATGTCAAAATGTTCTAAATATATATGTATGTGTGTGTGTGTGTATGTGTGTGTGTATGTATATATATATATGTATATATGTGTATGTACAAACAGGCCCAATGCTGATGTTGTTATGTGTGTTGTCGAATTGAGAAGGGTGGATTTATAAACCAGCACATCGTACCAATGCGTTCACGTCGCTGGTGATGCTGCCACCGGATGTAATGGAGTTAGAGTTGGCCAGGGATGAAGTTGCTTTCACCTTGATCGTATCCATGGGGATGCCAAGCTCAAAGGCACAGACTTGCATCATCTGTCATGAACAAAGATAACCCATTATGCATATTTTACAAACAATTACTGAAAGTGTGTTCACATAATTACCATGTTTTCAGATGTATAACGGCTTTCTAAGTGTGAACACTGAACATCGAACCATCGAGACGTACTTCATGTTAAACTGCGGACAGTATCTCAGTGGGCTAGAACTAAGAGACTAAGGGCTAGAACATTCGTCTGGACTAGTTCGGAAAGACACACACAGAGACATATATACACGATTAACACACGCGCGCGTCTCTATATAAGTACAATACTCTTGACGTTCAAACTTTATTTATCCTCGAACGACTGGCTTGTAAGTAATGAATCAAAACATGAAAACAAAAAAGTTCTTACGATACATGAGCTGAAAGTAAAACTTAAATATTGTGTTTGGTTATGTAATGGTTGGTTGGTTTGTTGTTTAACGCCGCACTCAGCAATATTCCAGCTATATGACGGCGGTCTGTAAATAATCGAGTCTGGACCAGACAATCCAGTGATTGACATCATGATCATCGATCCACGCAATTGGGATCGATGACATGCATCAACCAAGTCAGCGAGCCTGACCTCCCGATCCCGTTAGTCGCCTCTTACGACAAGCATAGTCACCTTTTACGGCAAGCATGGGTTGCTGAAGACCTATTCTACCCCGGAATCTTCACGGGTCGGTTATGTAATGTGTGGAGGATGAAATCCTACATATTGAAACATAAAGGTCAGTAAAACGTTTGGCACGTAATATTGGTGAACATTAACCCAAGGAGAGATGTAAATATAATCCAAACGCAACAATTCAACAAAGGTTTTAAATGTGCAACAACCTACAATGTCGATTATTAGTAACATCATGTAACAACAATATCAAGGCTAACATTGACTGAAAATGTGCATATTCATTGTCATCGCTAAATATGACAAATATACTCGTGCACGTGTGTCCTCAATTATGAAATATACCCACAAACACATGTAGCACTTTGATAATCATCCGACTGACCTTTGTGTTGATTCCTTGGCCATTCTCGATACCGCCGATCGATATGGCGACGGATCCATCGCCATTGTATATAGTCATATAAACATTATATTTGGCGTGTGTGAAGTTCAACTCGAAGCGCAGAGGCATCACCGAAATACCCTTCTTCTTCCATCTGTTGGCCTTGGTAAAATTAAAATGTAGAAAGAAAGATAATCGTCTCAAAATATTGATGTTCGGTGGCCAAACGATCTACCTTTCACAAAATGTGTTTGTTGTTTAAAGCCGCACGCAGCAATATTCCAGCTAAATGACGGCGGTCTGTAAATAATCGAGTCTGGACCAGACAATTCAGAGATTGACATCATGAGCATCGATCCACGCAATTGGGATCGACGACATTCATCAACCAAGTCAGCGAGCCTGACCACCAGATCCCGTTCGTCACCTTTTACGACAAGCATAGTCGCCTTTTACGGCAAGCATGAGTTGCTGAAGACCTATTCTACCCCGGATTCTTCACGGGTCTCCACGCAATTAGGATCGACGACATGCATCAACCAAGTCAGCGAGCCTGACCACCCGATCCCGTTCGTCACCTCTTACTACGAGCATAGTCGCCTTTTACGGCAACCGTTCACAAAAGTAGACACGGGTGACCCATACCTCTACTGCGCTCTAACTCGCTGCGCAGACTTGCATCCCTTGGGCCAGAAACCTATGATTGTGGGTCGAGTCCCTGCTCACCCCGAATATGTTTCTAGGTTTGTCAGCACCATACCTGTGCTCGTTGGTTTCACCAAAGTGGTAAACGTCTGAGAACTGCAACACTCCGGACTTTCCTCCCCAGTTTTCTCTAGTTTCTTTTTCACTACAAAGTGAAGAAACTCATGTACCTGGTTGAAAGCTGCAACTTGTTGTTTCCTGGCCTGGACATCGGCTGACGTCTCCAGTTGGGCCACCATATTTTTGATCGTGCAGTATTTCAGAAGCATTCCATGGGCAGTTGTCTGTGACAGAATAAATCACATGTAGTTCGTATATACAAGCTACTTGACATCCTCGCAAATTAGATCTGTACTCTGTTCACTAAGGTTTTGGGGTCTGGGTGAATAGCACAAAACAGATATGGACCTATGGCAGTCTTAATGCTAAGGTCGCTTTGTGGACCGGAGCCTTGCACTCACTTGTTCCAAAGGATGATATCTTAATGTAGTGGTATGAGCGCTTCAAAATTGCAGTCATTCCTATATTCAAACGGCTACGTAAAATTAGAAATATATGTGAAAGATTTGGTTGGTTGGTTTGTTGTTTAACGCCGCACTCAGCAATATTACAGTTATATGACCACGCTCTGTAAGTAATCGCGTCTGGACCAGACAATCCTGTGATTGATATCATGAGCATCGAACCAATTGGGATCGGTGACATGCATCAACCAAGTCACCGAGCCTGACCCCCCGATCCCGTTAGTCGAGGTTAGATGGGTCGTAATGTCACGAGGGCATGTATAATAATTTATACCTGGACTGACGAAGAACAGCTTGACGCTACTGACTTGTCAGTATTATTTCGCATGATATTTTGGACACTCGTTTTTACCCATCATTTAATCACCGCCTACGTGGTTCGATCACCGGCCGCGTCATGACAACAGACGTTAAAAGATGGTACTTGTTGTTACCCTGTCTAGCGCTCGACATTAAGGGGATAAAACAAGGACTGGTCGGCTCCTAGTCAGTATTCTGTTTCTGAGTGGGGTATTCATGCGGCATGGTATCACAGTGGACTGGCACTATAAATCGGCATCGGTCCGGACTATATAAGTTGCTATATAAGTGCAATAATCTTGGACGCGACGTCAAACCCCATTTCACCTCACCTCACCATAATGTAATCAAGGGCAAAGGTAAGAAAAGTAAAGCGGATATTATTCATCTATTTGTTTAGGGACTCCGTGAATGAGTGACAGATATTTGCTAAGACGCTTTTTGGCGGTACCAGAAATTGAAAACGACTTATCGACCTGGTTATACTGATTGAGTTGACACTGAAAGACACATGGCGATAGGTTAAGCCAACATGACATTACTCACCTGGCCGTTTTCATAGAGGTTTAGTTTCCTGAACTCCAATGGGTCTTTGTTCAGGATTTTGGCTGCGTGGTCCAGAATTGACTCCGTGATGAAGATGGCAGGACTCGACCCTGGTGGGCAGTAAATTCAAAACGTCAACGCCAGAGACTAATTGTCTCGATTATTTTGCCAAAACTGGCAAAATAATGATGAACATTATATGAATGGATTAGTGAAAGGGACCAGGTGTTCGTCAAAACGGTAAGCAAGTCCTGCTCTACCGGTAGCCACTAAACAAAGGAAGTGTTTGTTTGTTCGATGCCTTATGCCCCAACCGAACAATAACCTGTTGATAATTGTCTTGTGCAATCTGTGTTTGTTTGTGTGTTTGTTTAACGCCGCACTCAGCAATATTCCAGCTATATGACGGCGGTCTGTAAATAATCGAGTCTGGACCAGACAATCCAGTGATTGACATCATGAGCATCGACCATCGCAATTGGGATACGAGGACCTGCATCAACCAAGTCAGCGAGCCTGACCACCCGATCCCGTTAGCCTCTTACGACAAGCATAGTCGCTTTTCACAGCTAGGAGGGGTTGCTGAAGACCTATTCTACCCCGGATCTTCACGGGTCGGTGAAACATGAATTATGGCTACAAATATTTGCTGATGGTCGTACCTGGAGATCGACAGGCAGTGTTGGTTGGGAGATTAGTCTTCAGAGCAACAGGTTTGAAATCCCAAGCTGGACAGTTGTATGCTGCAAAATGTAACACTTTGCCATAGGATGTCTTTTTTTGGTGCTCATCGCGCAAGGGTGTCCTTTTACAACATATTTTAAAGCAATATCAATACATCGCCACTATTAAACGTTGCAAATTAGAAGCACTGACCTTAAATCAAATCGTCGATCACAAGACCAATAGTATTAAATCTCTTTGCTACTACAGGTCGTGTATTGCAGACCGCTAAAAAGTCAATTAGATGAGGAGCATTTCGTTCTTTTACTTTGACAGAGTAAATAGTATATTTGTTAGAAATAAACACCTGTTCTGACAAAGCACTAACGAAGAACTAGTGATTATCTTGAAGGCACATTAGTATCTTAGGATAAGAAATACATCAATGAAAATGAAAATACAATACGGCAATTATCTTAGATGCCTATATATTCTTTGTTTCTGAAAGATGAGGGTAGTTACCGCTATCCATCCATGGTGGGAAACTGCCCATTGCGCAGTCATTGGGTGACGAGCCGCAGTCGGCGTAAACCGTCATCTGAACTCCATTCAGCTTCCCATCATTGGTCACCCCGACCTGGCAACAGTGATATAGATCGATGCCTTTATTGCCTGGACGACACGGACAATGCTGGTTTGTTTAACGCCGCACTCAGCAATATTCCAGCTATATGACGGCGGTCTGTAAATAATCGAGTCTGGACCACACTATCCAGTAATTGACATCATGAGCATCGTTTCACGCAATTGGGATCGATGACGTGGAGCAACCAAGTCAGCGTTCGCTCGTCACGCCGAAGACCCGGGTTCGATTCCCGACATGGGTACAATGTGTGAAGCCCATTTCTGGTGGCCCCCGCCGTGATATTGCTGGAATATTGCTAAAATAAATATACATGTAAAACAATGCGAGCTCATGGTTCTTCATATATTGTGCTTATAACTTCAAGTTTGTTTTGTTTGTTTGTTTGTTGTTTAACGCCGAACTCAGCAATATTCCAGCTATATGACGGCGGTCTGTAAATAATCGAGTCTGGACCAGACAATCCAGCGATTGATATCATGAGCATCGTTTCACGCAATTGGGATCGATGCCATGCACCAACCAAGTCAGCGAGTCAGACCACCTGATCCCGATAGTCGCCTCTTACAAGCATAGTCGCTTTTTACAGCAAGCATGGGTTGCTGAAGACCTATTCTACCCCGGATCTTCTCGGGTCCCTTCCCTGATTTATTCAAAGGCGTTTAGACAAACATGTGTACGTATTTCTTTTCTATATTATATACTGTGAGTGTACAAGACAGACGGACCCGTGAAGATTCTGGGGTCGAATAGGTCTTCAGCAACCCAGGCTTGCAGTAAAAGGTGACTATGCTTGTCGTAAAGGCGACTAACGGGATCGGGTGGTCAGGCTCGCTGACTTGGTTGATGCAGGTCATCGATCCCAATTGCGTGGATCGATGCTCATGATATTTATCACTGGATTGTCTGGTCCAGACTCGATTATTTACAGACCGCCATCATATATAGCTGGAATATTGCTGAGTGCGGCGTTAAACAACAAACCAACCAACAATACAGACGAGGTGCGATTGCCGTTACCGTTATTTGCTCAGAGTAAATCAAAGATTTGGTTTGTTTGTTGTAAATCAAAGACGTGCTTGTGATCAACAGTTATGATGAATATGATTCTCAAACCGCTTTTAGCAATATTCATAGCCATTTAATTGTCTGCTCCTATTTACTGAAACATCAAAGTCTCACCGTGTAATCCGCCATAAAAGGGTAGCGTTTCCCGATTGACTTCATGTTGGTGTGGAAGTTCATCGCCAGGCGGACAGGTCTGGAAAATGTGAACCAAACATCGAGAAAAATTCGAAACCAACTATGATATATGAAATAGGATATGTTTGTTGTTTAACAATTTTAACAATATTCCAACTATATAACGGCGGTCTGCAAGCAGCCGGGCCTGGACAAGACAATGCAGTGATGAACGAATCATGAAGTATTAATAAGTCGACATAGTTGGTTCGGTTGGTTGGTCTGTTGTTTTACGCCGCACACAGCAATATTCCAGCTGTATGACGGTGGTCTGTAAATAATCGATTTGGTTTGGTTTGTTTGTTGTTTAACGCGCCACTCAGCAATATTCCAGCTATATGACGGCGGTCTGCAAATAATCGAGTCTGGACCAGACAATCCAGTGATTAATATCATGAGCATCGATCCAAGCAATTGGAATCGATGACATGCATCAACCAAGTCAGCGAGCCTGACCACCCGATCCCGTTAGTCGCCTTTTACGACAAGCATAGTCACCTTTTACGGCAAGCATGGGTTGCTGAAGACCTAGTCGAGCAAGTCTGACATGTGGCAACATAATGTTTCATTAACCCCTACATGTGCATGTAATACGTCACGACTCCGGGTCATATTTACTCGATTAGGATACAAAAACCCGTTAAAATCCGGGGTGGAATAGGTTTTTTAGCAACCCATGCTTGCCGTAAAAGGTGACCAACGGGGTCGGGTGGTCAGGCTCGCTGACTTGGTTGATGTATGTTATCGCATCCAAATTGCGTGGATCGATGCTCATGATGTCAATCACTGGATTGTCTGGTCCATACTCGATTATTTACAGACCGCCGTCATACAGCTTGAATATTGCTGAGTGCGGCGTTAAACAACAATAAAAATTAAAAAATTAGATGATATTAATCACTGGATTGTCTGGTCCATACTCGATTATTTACAGACCGCCGTCATACAGCTTGAATATTGCTGAGTGCGGCGTTAAACAACAGACAAAGAAACAAGAATACCAAATGTCGCCAGGAGCTTTGAATATAAAAATGCCGACACAACATATAACATATGACTTTTGAGGACTGACGTTTTCCTCAGATATGTAACAGTCAATGTGTAAACAGTTATTCACTTAGACTATATTTACAAAGTGCCTAATATTTCTGTCATTTTACAAATTGACTGAAACAAGTGTTCATTCAGATAAAAATATAAGTGTTACGAAGTTCAAAAGGGCCTTAAAGGTTGGTTGGTTGGTTAGTTGTTTAACGCCGCACTCAGCAATATTCCAGCTATATGACGGCGGTCTGTAGATAATCGAGTCTGGACCAGACAATCCAGTGATTAATATCATCTAATTTTTTAATTTTTATTGTTGTTTAACGCCGCACTCAGCAATATTCAAGCTATATGACGGCGGTCTGTAAATAATCGAGTCTGGATCAGACAATCCAGTGATTGATATCATGAGCATCGATCCACGCAATTTGGATCGATAACATGCTTCAACCAAGTCAGCGAGCCTGACCACCCGATCCCGTTAGTCGCCTTTTACGACAAGCATAGTCACATTTTACGGCAAGCATGGGTTGCTGAAGACCTATTCTACCCCGGAATCTTCACGGGTCTCAAAAGGGCCTTAAAAACATTACAACAACTAATGTTAGGGTGAGAATTCCACAATTAAACATATGTACATGCATATACATACACACACATATATGCACACACACACACACACGCACATATATATATATATATAATGAGAGAGAGAGAGAGAGACTTTGTTTTTTTCTCTTCATCCTATAATTTGCAGTCACTGGTGATGAAATTGACCATGAAATGTTTGAAATTCGTTTTCACTCTAGCTGAATGGAAAATAGTTGTAAAATAACTGAAATATTTATGCGTTTAGTAAAATGCCTGAATGAAAATATCATTCATGTTACACATAAAATACACTGTGGACACTTGGTTGTTTGCTGTGTCGGGTGAGACCAACCTCCTCATGACGTGTGTGGCGAGAGCGGCAGCACATGCTGGTAGAAAGCCACGTGATATTTTGGCACCATACGATCCTCCGAGGCGTTTTACGGTCACGTTGACACTGAAACGCCAACGAGATCTTCTTGAGACACAAATCTACTTTCATACATGAGTGAGTATGGTTTTACGCCGCTTTGAACAATATTCTAGCAATATCACGGCGGGGGACATATAAATCCACACTATCAAAATTAATAAATCACAGTTATAATTTGGTTGGTTGGTTTGTTATTTTACGCCGCACTCAGCAATGTTCCAGCTAAATGACGGCAGTCTGTAAATAATCGATTCTGGACCAGACAATCCAGTGATTGATATCATGAGCATCGATCCAGGCAATTGGAATCGATGACCTGCATCAACCAAGTCAGCGAGCCTGACCACCCGATCCCGTTAGTCGCCTTTTAGGGCAAGCATGTGTTGCTCACAGTTATAAGGTGACATAATTTGAAGAATGGCAGAATTTCGATTTGAAAACATTTACTGCCCTTTGACCTGAAATCTTCACTTCTAGACTGTGTTACTGATACATCATTGTTATATGTAGTTTTGCGTTTCTTCAATATTGATTCTAGTGTTTACAATTTTTGGTTATGTGTCTTCGATTCGTACCTGGACGGCGTCAATATTAACACATCATCGGTTGTTAAACCTGGCGGAATTATTTCACAGAAGCCATGATAACGCTTCAATATTACTGGCTGCGCCGTACGTTGCATTTTATGAACCTCGAATAAATTTCTGCTGATTTGGAGACATTTCGAACTTTACTCCATGAAGCTTCAATTTCTATGACTCGGGGCCATGGGGGTCATCTCAACTACTAAATGTTGTTGGACAAGCCGACTTCCTATATGATACTATTGCAGAAAACTACATGTTAGAGGAGAGTTGCAAACGCAAGTGGTGAGTTGAAGATCCATGTCGACGGCTATAGAACTATATGGAGATTTAAAGAACAACGCGGAGAGTGGAGAGTTTAAGAACAATGTTGAGAGTTAAGGAGTGAGTGAGTGAGTTGGGTTTAACGCCGCTTTTAGTAGTATTCCAGTTATATCACGGCGTGTCAGCTTAATGTGGGAGGAAAGCCCGAAGTGATGCAGGTCTCAGACGTTTACCACTTCGATGAAACCCACGAGCACGGGTATGGTGCTGACAAACCTAGAAACATAATCGGGGCGTACCGGGATTCGAACCCACAGTCATAGGTTTCTGGCGTGTCCAAGGGACGCAACTGTGTACAGCGAATCGCGGCGCCTTAGACGACTGGGCCACCCGTGCCCCCGAGAGTTAAGAAACCACGTGTAGATATAAATATCTGTACACGTTTTTACTTTCTCATGTGCATATGTACAATTTTTTACTAATTAATGGCATTCACACATACGCACAGTGGAAAACAAGGGACGGATAATTATGATCTTGTAAATCCTGCACGTTCAATAGTAAACATATAAACAAAAACAGTTCAGGTAGCTGTACCTGCTTTCTGGGATGTTGAGAACTTTTGATACGACCAGTTGTTCATTATCTGCCCACTGTGTTGCCGAGAGAAGACTCACGCCAACCCCATCCTCGTCTGGATAGCATATGCTCACCTGTGGATGGAAAATATTGTAATAAGGAAAATATTCTAATAATGAAGATTTGAATGACCAAATTACAGGATCAGCGAGACAAGCAGAACGCAACATCCTACCCCGGACCAATCACATACATTCCGCCAGACCAATCACATACATTCCGCTGACTTGGTTGATACATGTAATCGATCCCAATTGCATGGATCATGATAACAATCACTAGATTGTCTGGTCCAGACTCGATTATTTTACAGACCGCCGTCATATAGCTAAGTGCGGCTGTAAACAACAAACAAAGAAACAAAGAAACAAAGAAACGGATTTTGTCTTCAATACGCAGCCGCTGCCTCGCTTGTATCAACACAAATGGAGGTGACACCCGATATTCACACACACACACACACACACACACACACACACACACACACACACACACACAAACATGTAAGGGCCAGTCAAGTATTCACCTGTACGAGTACGAGAACATATGGTACAAGTCAAAATGGTTAATTGCATCTGGCATCTATTGCATTTTATTTCTGATGTATGCATTGACTATTTGTTTGTTGTTTGTTTGTTGTTTAACGGCCCACTCAGCAATATTCCAGCTATATGACGGCGGTCTGTAAATAATCGAATCTGGACCAGACAATCCAGTGATTGATATCATGAGCATCGATTTGTATATGTAGCATTTACTGCAAAATCAAACAATGTGAATTATTATATACCCTACGGTGTATTCTTGCAATACTTTATTGCCACCACAGATATTTTTACAATATTTACCCAATTCACTCGTAACCAGTACCACATGAGCAAATATCTAATGCCCTAGTTTTCCAGGTGCTGACTGACCTGTGTCTCCAGATGGAAATGATACTGATGTCCTAGTTTAATTCGACCGGAAACCTTTTTGTCTGAGGAAGCAATTGCAGCTGAAAACAATATGCAATAATTAGACAATGTTTGTTTGTTTGTTTGTTTGTTGTTTAACGCTGCACTCAGCAATATTCCAGCTATATGACGGCGGCCTGTAAATAATCGAGTCTTGACCAGACAATCCAGTGATTGATATCATGAGCATCGATCCAATCAATTGGGATCGATGACATGCATCAACCAAGTCAGCGAGCCTGACCACCCGACCCCGTTAGTCGCCTTTTACGACAAGCATAGTCACCTTTTACGGCAAGCATGGGTTGCTGAAGACCTATTCTTCCCCGGAATCTTCACGGGTCAATTAGACAATGCATTTTGTGTTAGCTAAGAGTAAAGGTTTTGTGATTCATAACCAATTCGGACGCAGATTTACATTCTTTTTTATTTCGAGTAAATTGTAACATTGTTAACTCAGAGACTAATTTCATAACATTTAATGTATCTTGTGTAATTTATGTTCGATAAGGACTGGAAGATCGAGAGAAACAACATTATGTGTAAACGATCAAGTCAAAACATACCTGCAGCATCGCCTACTTTGAACTCCTTGGCAACATTTGGAAATACGGAATTCTTCTGAATGGCATCTTCCATTGTAATGATGGGAGGCTGGACGTTCTTGTAGGTAACTTTCACCATGCTGGCTGCTGTGTCCGCTGATAGTTTGTCCACTGGAATACAACACACGTCATTTGCTCATAGCTCGTTTTATTAAAAAAGTAAGTTTTTGTAAGGTGACAGAAACTCCCCCCTACCCCCGATCTTTCATTGTCCGAAACGTCTCCGTCATAGAGTAAATACCGACATCAAGGTTTGAAGTCAAAGAGCTTGACTCTTAAATATTTTACCTTAATTTTATTTGTTTGTTTCTTGTTTACCCCAAACTCACAATATTCAAGCTAAAGACGGTGATCAGTAAATAATCGAGTCTGGACCAGACAACCCAGTGATTGACATCATAAGAATCGGTTTATGAATAGGAAATACGGTGACATACATCAGGGAGCCTGACTACCCGATCCCGTTAGTCACCCCTTACGAAAAAGCATGGTTTGGTGAATATCAAGTCAAAGAGGAACCTTTTCAGGACAAATAGGTAAGTAGCAGAATCTAACAACATGCATTATCTAAGATTGCAGCTATTTTGGCACACGTGGTCCCTCCAGAAACACTAGCTGCTGACAGACGTTGAGACGTTGAACATATAAGGACAACCCACTCACCCAAACTGACCAATAACAATAAAGAAGGAACTTTAAATGTGCTCGAACAGAGTTGAAACTTACTTCTAATCTTGGACACCGCAACAATCTCAATAAACTTTTCTCTGACAAAATGGACACCTGTGACTGTGAAATACCTGCTCGTCTTACATATTAATCAGCTAGCAATTATTGGTGTCCCTTAAGTGACCCGTGAAAATCCGGACTAGAATAGGTCTTCAGCAACCCATAAAACGCGACAAACGGGGTCGGGTGGTCAGCCTCGCTGTCTTGGTTGATGCATGTCATATCATGCATGATCATGATATCAACAACTGGACAGTCTGGTCCAGACTTGATTATTTACAGACCGCCGTCATATAGCTGCAATATTGCTGAGTGCGGCGTTAAACAAACAAACAAACAAACAAACAACAACAAGTCAAGACAATTTCCAGTACGATTTATAGGTACGAATTGGTAGAATTCAATGTTTCTTGCTAGAACCAGGTTAGGGAAAGAGGAAACCCAGTTAATAGACGCGAAGACCTACCTGCAACGATGATACCAATTGGTTGCCCACTATAGAGGACCTTCCCACTGCAGAACAACTGTTAACAGACAAGGTTGACAGATTAGTTCCTACCCATAGCATTAGTGGCACGTTCGTGATAATCACCAAGCTACATATTTAAAAGAGAGGCTAACTTGTTTTTTTACAGTTCTTTCTTGTCATAATAAATTGCTCCACTTGTTATGTATTCTCTTGGCCTTATAACTTTAAGGCTACGAATGCTCTGGGAAGATAAAACTTTATATTGTGCTTATCAAGTAAACGCATCTTTTGTAGGTGAGGTGAAATGGGGTTTAACGTCGCGTCCAAGATTATTGCACTTATATAGCGACGTGCATGTACGTGTGTGTGTTTGTGTGGCTGCTTGTACTAGTCCGGACTGATGCCGATTTATAGTACTAGCTCACTGAGATACCATGCCGCAGTTTAACATGAATACCCCACTCAGACACAGTATACTGACTCCGAGCCGACCAGTCCTTGTATCAGCTCCTTAATGCCGAGCGCCAGACAGGGTAACAACAAGTACCATCTTTTAACGTCTTTTGGTATGACGCGGTCGGGGATCGAACCCCGGACCTTCCGCTCTCCGGGCGGACGCTCTACCACTAGACCACGGAGGCGGTCACATCGTTCGTAAAATGGAATTGATAGGTATTTGAAAAGCATCCAAGCGCCGGGATGTCACACAATGGTTTGTGATACAATGTAACCTTGGATGAATCTGGGTTTGTTCAGGGGGCGCGGGTGGCCCAGTCTTCTAAGGCGCCGCGATTCGCTGTGCAAAGTTGCGTGCCTTGGGCACGCCAGAAACCTATGATTATGGGTTCGAATCCCGGTTCGCCCCGATTATGTTTCCAGGTTTGTCAGCAACATACCCGTGCTCGTGGGTTTCACCGAAGACCTGCATCACTTCGGGCTTTCCTCCCACATTAAGCTGACACGCCGTAATATAACTGGAATAATGTTAAAAGCAGCGTTAAACCCAACTCACTCACTCACTTACTGGGTTTGTTCAAGGTGATAACCATCGAGGTGTGTGTTTGTTGTTTCAACATTACTCAAAAACAAAAGTTCCTGTGACACCAATATTTGGTTTTCAGTATTGTGGTACATGTATGGAATCAGGTCACAAAAAACGCAACTGCTACAGAAAAGGATGCATTCCATGTAAAAGGTGACTTTTATGCAAGCCCCATGCATTTCACTACCCAAGAATGGGTATAAAATCATGTGCGTTAACGCGACTCCATATGCATTATTTAGCATCGTGCTGACAACAACCACTAAGAAAAACAACAAAATTACGCAATTATTCAACATTACTAAATGTCACGCCTGTCCGAAAATGAGCGTCTGCGAGCCATTGGTATGCTTGAAGCAGGATCGAGAACGTGATGTTGTAAGACAATTTAACGTCCACAGAAACACCATTTGGTGTTTGTGGTAACGTTGGCAACAGACCAATGCAGTGAGAGACCATCCTCGGAGTGGCAGGCCACACGTAACCAATAATCGACAAGACAACTGGATTCGAACAACACACCTACGAAATCGATTCCAGCCAGCAACAGTGACTGCAAGAAGTATTCCTGCCCTTCCTTCGACGAATATCTTCACAAACCGTACGTCGCCGCCTCAGATGTGCAGGGATTGTCGCCAGAAGACCCGCCAGACGTCCCATTTTGACAGGAAACCACCGTCAAGCACGTCTTCAGTGGTGCAGACAGCGTCTACGCTGGACGGCCATGCAGTGGGGACAAGTTCTATTCACTGACGAGTCTCGTTTTCACCTCAGCCACAGCGATGGACGGATTCCAGGGTAACGACGTCGAGGTGAACGTTACGTCAATTATTGTGTCATGGATGAAGATCGGTTCGGGGGCGGCAGCGTTATGGTATGGGGTGGGATTACAGCAAGACAGAGGACCAGTTTGATAGTGGTAGAAGGAAATCTCAATGGACAGCGCTACCGCGACGAGATCATCGGCCCTGTTGTTCTACCGTTTTTGCGTCGTTATCGCCCAATCATTATCTTTCAACATGACAACGCCCGGCCACGACGTGTTCAGGATTCACAACAAAACAACGTGAATGTCATCCCCTGGCCGGCTCGCTCCCCTGATCTCTCACCAATCGAGCATATGTGGGATGAGATGGATCGGCGCCTTCGACGTCAACCACGTGTTCCACAGACACTCCAGGAACTTCGAAACATGCTCCGGCAGATATGGACAGACATCCCACAAGACTTTGTGCGACTCCTGGTCCATTCCATGAGACGAAGATGTGTTGCTTGCATCGCAACCATAGGTGGACACACATACTATTGATTTGTAAATTTGCATTTTGGCATGTTCATGATTTTTATGAAATCACGCATTTTCTGGCAAATTAAACCATTTGAACTCATACAGGAGTCTTTTATCTGTTGCAAACCGAAATTGTTTCAGATTTGGTAAGAAACACAATTTTGCATTAAATCTTGTCACAGGAACTTTTGTTGTTCAGTAAATATGACGAGTGTTTATAATTGAGTGTGGACTTAACAATTCTGTGATTAATATCATGAGCAACGACCCGCACCGTCTGATATACGAAAGCCAATTTGGACCATATATTGGTATTTTGTTTTTTCTCTTTTAAAAGTCGTAATTACGAGAAAAATGTCGTAATTACGACTTTTCAAAACTCGTAATTAAAAAAAGGTACCCGTGTCATTGTACCCATACGAAAGCCCATTAGGACCATATTGGTATTTTGTTTTTTCTCTTTTAAAAGTCGTAATCATACATTTTTCTCGTAATTACGACTTTTAAAAGAGAAAAAAACAAAATACCGATATGGTCCTAATGGGCTTTCGTATGGGTACAATGACACGGGTACCTTGAACCAAGCCCAGGAGCGTGACAACAAGATCGCCTCATACGACCAGCTTAGTTTGCACCGTCAGGGTACATGTGGTACTTAATGATTACTACAGGTGGCACTAGAAGATACAGGTAATACTCCTACAGCCACTGTATCCACCAACTACTCATCTCGATGCCTTTCACGCCACGCATGCAACACCGTGATCATAGCCTATGTATAGGATATAAACCGCCTCCGCGGGCTATCCGTGAAAATAATGCAGTCCGGCAAAGGAGAAGCCCGCATCCGTAGGCCCAATGGCTTTTCCTGCGCTGGAGTGCATTATTTTCACGGATAGCCATAGGAGAAGGTTTATATCTGACTTATAAACCGACAGATATGAAGATGCTTTTTGTTTACATGACATAACTTTAATTCTGAAATTTCAATTGTAGCACTCGAAAGTTCTCCGTCAAAAGCGCACAGCTCGAGAATCCCGTGGGCCGAGGGATTTTGGGAGAAAAGAACAACCTGTTGTAACAATGGTAAAGCATCACTGGAGGTTTATAACAAGAAATAGAGGTGAGGTGAGGTGAAATTGGGTTTAACGTCGCGTCCAAGATTATTGCACTTATATAGCGACGTACATGCACGTGTATGTGTGTGTGGCTGCTTGTACTAGTCCGGACTGATGCCGATTTATAGTGCTAGCTCACTGAGATACCATGCCGCAGTTTAACATGAATACCCCACTCAGACACAGTATACTGACTCCGAGCCGACCAGTCCTTGTTTTAGCCCCTTAATGCCGAGCGCCAGACAGGGTAACAACAAGTACAATCTTTTAACGTCTTTTTGTATGACGCGGCCCGGGATCGAACCCTGGACCTTCCGCTCTCCGGGCGGACGCTCTACCACAAGACCACGGAGGCGGTCCAAGAAATAGAGGGTACAAAAGAACATGTTAATTGTCCTTACCTCCTCGACATCGGCAGATGGTGCCTGGTAACTGTTGCTGCCGCCTTTTGGTATGTCTGCCGCAGAGATGTACTTCAGAACTCCAGGATAACTCTACGGAAACAAAGAACCGGGTGAATAACAGCTTATTCCGCCTATTTTACACAATGTCATTGAGACAGGAGAATGAATTCTGTCATTTATGTAAACGAGGAATTGACGTGTGAGAAAAGCAGACATTCTTAAGTAAGAAATACTCGTCAATGGAGGATGAATAGCTTTTCCCATTATAATTAAGTTTCCAAGAAACGGTAAACGGTGCCTCGGGTAGACAAAAATGGGTTGTCTTGATTAAGAAGATTACCTCTTTGCAATGAAAACTTCTATACACGTTTCGATAGCTCATTTATAACCTCAACGCCTACGGATAACAGATTAATAGTCTTCTCGGATTATACACTACAGACATGTAACTGTAATACCCAACAATGTTTTAATGCTTAAAAATATAATAAGGTTACCAAGGCTGCAGATGTGTCTACGGTGTCAATTTCGGCGTTTCCGACGCTGCTGATCACGAAGGATGCGCAAACCTCCTCCGGGACTGGAGGGACGTCGTTGACGAACCTAACCCTTCCAGATGTCTAAAACACACAAACATCTTAAAGAGTTTTCTAAAGTCAGGATTGAGTCAAAATGGCATTTTGCAAATGGTCAACATAGATCAATATCAAGACATAAAGAGACCAGATTTCCGTAATCCTATCTAATTTATAATGGCACCAAAGGCGAATTCAACATCGCATATAACCTAATGTAATCAGATACATATAACCTAATGTAATCAGATACATATAAGACCCGTGAAGATTCCGGGTTAGAATAGGTCTTCAGCAACCCATGCTTGCCGTAAAAGGCGACTATGCTTGTCGTGAGAGGCGACTAACGGGAGCGGGTGGTCAGGCTCGCTGACTTAGTTGGTGCATGGCATCGATCCCAATTGCGTGGATCGATGCTCATGATGTCAATCGCTGGATTGTCTGGTCCAGACTCGATTATTTACAGCCCACCGTCATATAGCTGGAATATTGCTGAGTGCGGCGTTAAACAACAAAGAAACAAACAAAACAAACTTGAAGTTATAAGCACAATATATGAAGAACCGTGAGCTCGCATTGTTTTACATGTATGTGAGTTAAACCGTGTGAGTGAGTGAGTGAGTGAGTATGGTTTTACGCCGCTTTTAGCAATATTCGAGCAATATCACGGCAGGGGACACCAGAAATGGGCTTCACACATTGTACCCATGTCGGGAATCGAATCCGGGTCTTCGGCGTGAAGAGCGAACGCTTTAACCACTAGGCTTCCCGACCGCCCCTGTGAAATAAGTACCACCCTGTTTAGGAAACTGATGTTTACCTGTAGTGTTGCATCTTTTTTTGTCATAGGTTGAGTCAAAGGGTATTCATCTTTACGACTGGCATACGTCTGAATGCCGGAAGAAACTGGACGTATCAAGTTGGTACCCCCACTCCGGAATCGCGTCGCTGCTTTTTCACCACACATGGCGAGCACGTACTGATTGTAAAACAGTAGAACAAATCTTGTAAAACAGTAGAACAATCCTTGTAAAACAGTAGAACAATGCTTGTAAAGCAGTAGGACAATGATTGAAAGACAGTGGAACAATGATTGTAAAACAGGAGAACAATGATTTTAAAACAGTAGAACAATGCTTGTAAAACAGTAGAACAATGCTTGTAAAACAGTAGAACAATCATTGTAAAACAGTAGAACAATGCTTGTAAAGCAGTGGGACAATGATTGAAAAACAGTTGAACAATGATTGTAAAACAGGAGAACAATGATTTTAAAACAGTAGAAGAATGATAGTAAAACAGTAAAACAATGATTGTAAAACAGTAGAACAATGATAGTAAAACAGTAAAACGATGTTTGTAGAACAATTGAACAATGATTGTTAAAAAAGAAGAACAATGATTGTAAAACAGTAGAACAATGACAGTAAAACAATGGCAAATTCACGGAACGTACAGGACACTCTGACGACTCAATAATATATTATCAATTATTCATTTTGATTTGTTTAATGTCAACGTCAAATCCCTCCCCCACTAACCATCAAATGTTATGATTGTTTGATCAAGCACGTGTTTGATATCTAACACATGCACAGGGTAAATAGAGGTTATCACGCGAGTGTGTTTGGGGATGGTAAATATCCTGCATTAGGAATAAACATTGTATTTAGCGAGCCTTGGCGAGCTAAATACATAGTGTTTATTCCTAATACAGGATATTTACCATCCCCAAACACACAAGCGTGATAACCTCTTTATCATATAATGTCATTCTTTAATTCTGTGCTTTAAAATCGCTTTCCCTCTCTTTCCCTTTACCGAAACATTGCGAGTTTTCCTGGAATGCGCGCATTAATATTTATTACGTCACAGGGTAAGTGATGTGTCAGTCGGACAGTGACAGTAGCCAATATAGTTCCAACTGAAATCTGTTTCTTATACAGTGGCGAAGCAACATATACACAGTTGTTTTTAATTGCCTTTCGCGGCAATCCATCGGTCTGTCCGCTAGAGTAACTGCCCTTTGTCAAAGGGAAGCTACTCTAACCCTAGTCTATGAGGCGCCACGGTCAGACGTTGTTGACAGTCGGTCTGCCCTGTTATAACGTTAAGAAGTGTAGTCAAATGTACACCCAGAGACAAAACGAAACAAGGTAACAATTCAAACATATTTCGGCCAAATCCAACTATTTTAATTTTTTGGAGAAGGTTACAAGCCGCAGAGGTCTACAAGTACAGATATATATGGCTACTGGTCCCGCTTGGCTAGGCCTCGTGCCCTCGCAAAATTGTTTCGAAATTTATATTTCCAAAGTTGCCAAAACTTATAAAATGCCTTAGCTACGTCACAGTTAGATACTGATTTTCAGCATATTAGAGTGTTCTGTTGATAATGATAGCCATTATCCCTGTAGTTTATCCAGATTCCCGATGGTTAATTCTGACTCGATCGCAGAATGACGAGGGCGACGCCATGTTTGTTTATAAACAGTGAAAGTAGTCCTACTTGACCTTTGATATTTGCATCTCTATCCGCATATGACCCCAACGGATATCGTTTTTATCCGTTGGCTTTATCCTGCCGAGAAACCTACCCATTATATGATAAAGACAGGTATCTGCTAGGGCTAAGCAGTAGGTAGGAATCAAAACTCACTTGCAACACTGGCAATATATAATCATTGGCATCCCCTTAGATAGTTGTGCTAAGGAGCATATTTTCATTTCGTTTTTGCCCTAGTTACTACCATATGATCGCTTGTTGCTTGACATATATTTAACTGGAGCTACCAGTTGACATGGTGACATTGTGTTGCAATGTAATACAGACTTGCCCGAGCGTCAGTCAGACAACAATGACGGGTACTGACCTTGTAGAAGAGAGAGACGGCCAGGTTCTTCCTGTAGGTTGTACTGGACAAGCCAGGGGTGGTGTCGGGAACCAGCTCGGCCGACAGAGTCGCAAAAGCACCTGCAAATGATACATGGATCAATGTATCTTTCTTCTGGGTACTAAGTTCTCTCTAGTGTGGCAACCGCGACCAATGACAACCAAGAAAGGCAGGCTTTTTTCGTACAAAATCTTCCCACCTTAATTGAACATTGCATAACCAATTTATGATAGCACAAACTATTCTGCAGCTGACTAAGTGTGATCGAATATTGTGTGTGTGTCTCTCTTTCTCTCTCCCTCTCTCTACTCCCATCTTTCTCACTCTCTACCCCTCTCTCTACTCCCATCTTTCTCTCTCTACTACCCTCTCTACTCCCATCTGTCTCTCTCTACACACTCTCTCTACTCCCATCTTTCTCTCTCTACTACCCTCTCTACTCCCATCTTTCTCTCTTTACCCCCTCTCTCTACTCACATATTTCTCTCTCTACCCACTCTCTCTACTCACATCTTTCTCTCTCTCTTTCTCTCTCTCCTCTACCCCCTCTCTCTACTCCCATCGTTCTCTCTCTCTACACCCTCTCTCTACTCACATCTTTCTCTCTCTCTCTTTCTCTCTCTCCTCTACACCCTCTCTCTACTCACATCTTTCTCTCTCTACCCCCTCTCTCTACTCCCATCTTTCTCTCTCTACACCCTCTCTCTACTCACATCTTTCTCTCTCTACCCCTCTCTCTACTCCCATCGTTCTCTCTCTCTACACCCTCTCTCTACTCACATCTTTCTCTCTCTCTCTCTTTCTCTCTCTCCTCTACACCCTCTCTCTACTCACATCTTTCTCTCTCTACCCCCTCTCTCTACTCCCATCTTTTTCTCTCTACACCCTCTCTCTACTCACATCTTTCTCTCTCTACCCCCTCTCTCTACTCACATCTTTCTCTCTCTACCCCCTCTCTCTACTCCCATCTTTCTCTCTTTACCTCCTCTCTCTACTCACATCTTTCTCTCTCTACTACCCTCTCTACTCCCATCTTTCTCTCTTTACCCCCTCTCTCTACTCACATCTTTCTCTCTTTACCTCCTCTCTCTACTCACATCTTTCTCTCTCTACTATCCTCTCTACTCCCATCTTTCTCTCTTTACCCCCTCTCTCTACTCACATCTTTCTCTCTCTACCCACTCTCTCTACTCACATCTTTCTCTCTCTCCTCTACCCCCTCTCTCTACTCCCATCGTTCTCTCTCTCTACACCCTCTCTCTACTCACATCTTTCTCTCTCTCTCTCTCACTCTCTCTCTCTCCTCTACACCCTCTCTCTACTCACATCTTTCTCTCTCTACCCCCTCTCTCTACTCACATCTTTCTCTCTCTACACCCTCTCTCTACTCACATCTTTCTCTCTCTACACCCTCTCTCTACTCACATCTTTCTCTCTCTACCCCCTCTCTCTACTCACATCTTTCTCTCTCTACACCCTCTCTCTACTCACATCTTTCTCTCTCTCTCTCCCCCTCTCTCTACTCCCATCTTTCTCTCTCTACCCACTCTCTCTACTCACATCTTTCTCTCTCTACACCCTCTCTCTTTCTCCTCCAATCGTTCTCTCTCTCTCTGCCTCTCCCCTCAGATCACTTACCTTTGAGGACTTGAGGGTCCCCCAACTGTTTGCCCTGTAGAAACGCCTCTGTGTTGCTGGCGTGAACCTAGGGAGTATCCTAATGTTGTACATCATTGGGTCAAGAACAGTAAAACATGTGATGTAACATTGATCCTCATTACATACTTCACTGGTTTTATTACCATCATGTGTATAACATCTTTATTCCTACACGGACGAACGATTCCTTGTGAACATTCAAAACAGTTTCATGAGGGCATATATTTCTATCCGATGTATTCGTTCTCGTAACATTGCAATGGCTTTTAGTATTTAACATAATATTTTTGTTCATCTCAGGGAATTGATAATATTTCTAACTTTACCAGTGTCTTGTTGATGCCACCGTACACCAGGGATGGTTTGGATTTGACCGTGAAATTGTTACTTCTGTCCAGCTGCATCCTGAAGCCTGCTGACACGTAGGCGTGGGCATTCTGGAAGAGTGAGTGAGTGAGTGAGTTTGGTTTTACGCCGCTTTTAGCAATATTCCAGCAATATCACGGCGGGGAACACCAGAAATGGGCTTCACACATTGTACCCATGTCGGGATTCGAACCCGGGTCTTCGGCGTGACCCGCCCCTTTCTGGAAGAGTCGAGTGGACATGTTAGTTCCGTTGTAACCAGTTTTACCAAGAGCTTGTGTGTACTGGTGACGTGGAACATTATCAGGGTGAACAAAATGATCTGTACCTGTTGTCTTGGAGTGGCTTGAAGGTTTTTATCCACACACATTTCGTGATGGGAATGGAACGATAATGTACGGATGAGTTGTTTGGGTACGATCGTATGCATAGTTGCATACCCGTGAAGATCCGGGTTAGAATAGACCCGGTCTTCAGCAACCCATGCTTGTCGTAAGAGGCGAATAACGGGTGGTCAGGCCAGCTGACTTGGTTGATGCGTGTCGTCGTATCCCAATTGCGTGGATCGATGCTCATGATGTCATTCACTGGATTGTCTGGTTCAGACATTTTTGACAATCCGCCGTAATATAGTTGGTTGGTTTGTTGTTTAACGCCGCAATATTTCAGCTATATGACGGCGGTCTGTAAATAATCGAGTCTGGACCAGACAATCGAATGATTAACATAATGAGCATCGATCCACGCAATTGGGATCGATGACATGCATCAACCAAGTCAGCGAGCCTGACCACCCGATCCCGTTAGTCGCCTTTTACGACAAGCATAGTCAACTTTTACGGCAAGCATGGGTTGCTGAAGACCTATTCTACCCCGGATCTTCACGGTATATTGCAGAGTCGGGCGTTAAACAAAACACGAACAAACAAAGCATAGTTGCAACTTCTATACCATCATGCAGAAGGTTACCTCCAAGCGACATTGCTTTAGCTATGTACCTGCTGTCTTTGGGAAACCTTGAAGGTCTTGACATACACGTCTCCGGATGGGAATGTTGGAAGTATCACAGACAGGATGACCTTGCCCTTCATGTCTAGGCTCAGGAAGTCCATAAGACTGTATGCTCTCTCCGTACCATCACTCGATCCTACACCAACGCAATAAAGTAGATGTGCATACCATGTCCACTAAATACATACTTCCCAAGGAGCTGAGAACGTAAAGCCATGCACACTGAGTACCAAAGTAATTATTTTCAGCACCATGGACATATTATTTGAGTTTATACAAAACAATATCAAATTGCATTAATTTTAATTGTATTTATCAAAATTTCATACAGTATTAAAGGTATTTTAATGTATTTATTCATATAACATAAAAAGACTCAACATCTCAACACGCGATAAGGAGACGCAGGACATGCAGTTCATGTACATGGTGGTTTGTTTGTTTGTTGGTTGGTTTGCTGGTTTGTTGTTTAACGCCGCACTCAGCAATATTCCAGCTATATGACGGCGGTCTGTAAATAATCGAGTCTGGACCAGACAATCCAGTGATTTATATCATGAGCATCGATCCACGCAATTGGGATCGATGACATGCATCAACCAAGTTAGCGAGCCTGACCACCCGATCCCGTTAGTCGCCTTTTACGACAGGCATAGTCGCCTTTTACGGCAAGCATGGGTTGCTGAAGACCTATTCTACCCCGGATCTTCACGGGTCTCATGTACATGTATGTATATCTTCTCTTGCAGGAGTATTATATTAATCTTGTCATACGAAGTTTGTCATGTGTACCATCATGAGCATATATCTCACCAATGAACAGAGTTGCCCCGACTGTCTCGAACATGGTGAAGACATCCGACGGGAACTCGGTGTGCAGGTTCTTCAGCATCAGGTTACCGGCCCAGCTGCCCAACTGAAATACATAATCTTACGTTTTAGACTCATGCATATCCCTTCACTGAGATCTGCAGGGAGAACCACAGTCCAACCGTCAACATGTAAGATAGTCGTCATATCTTAAATTATCCACCTGTGTTCGAAGACGTGAGGGCACAGAGGCAGCCCTCATTATTTGTAAGGACGTTCATGTGACGGTTGATTTTAAGATTTTTGTGACGTCGTGAAATTCATGACAGCGTTTCGAATTGCGTGTTACAATGCAGTGATAATATGTATTTTACTTCCTGCAAGCAGATATACAATCATTCTGCGTGTAGCTTTACAGTGACGCTGATCCATTGACCCGTGAAGATCCGGGGTAGAATAGGTCTTCAGCAACCCATGCTTGCCGTAAAAGGCGACTATGCTTGTCGTAAAAGGCGACTATGCCTGTCGTAAAAGGCGACTACCGGCATCGGGTGGTCATGCTTGCTGACTTGGCTGAAGCATGTCATCGTATCCCAATTGCGTGGATCGATGCTCATGATGTCAATTTCTGGATTGTCTGGTCCAGACTCGATTATTTACAGACCGCCGTCATATCGCTGGAATATTGCTGAGTGCGGCGTAAAACGTCAAACAAACAAACAAACCAAAACGCATAGAAACGTTCAGAGAAAGTGTTATTGACGTCATTTATGTGCGATTTCCAAATTTTACTCACATTTCTGACTCCGGTGTTAGCAATGACAGCCACGCCGTTGGCAAAGTCCCGAAAGTATGACAAGCCAGGGGTAGTGCTGTTTTTCGTGAAGACCTCCATCAAGTTGGTCAGGGTGATGCTAGGACCAAACGTCACCTTGGAGGAGTCCACCTGATGATACAATACATCTTGAAATATCAGAGAGTGAGTGAATTCAGAGGGAAACATGATTCGGTGCCTGGGTTTGTTGGTTGGTTTGTTGTTTAACGCCGCACTCAGCCATATTCCAGCTATATGACGGCGGTCTGTAAATAATCGAGTCTGGACCAGACAATCCAGTGATTAATATCATGAGCATCGATCCACGCAATTGGGATCGATGACATGCATCAACCAAGTTAGCGAGCCTGACCACCCGATCCCGTTAGTCGCCTTTTACGACAAGCATAGTCACCTTTTACGGCAAGCATAGGTTGCTGAAAACCTATTCCACCCCGGAATGCCTGGGACGTTTATTACAAACCGACGACGTAAGCGCTAGGTTATTAATGTAAAATGTCCGTGCATCGTAGATTCAATAACACACGGAAACCTGACAACTACTACCAATAAACAACATTGAAAATTCAAAAACAATTAACACGTCCCATTTTAATTCTGGAAACCCAAAAGTCCAGAAACTCTACAGTCTTTGCCCAGTATCGGTGAAAGTTATTTACAAAATTAAACATGCTGTTTTCATGGGAACATACCAAGGAAGAAAAAATGAAAAAAAAATGTTTAAAAACTTAATATTTACACTATGTCGTCCATGGGCAGGCCCATGGGCGAGAATATATTCCTTTACTTAAAACTCATGTTTTTGTTTCGCAAATACATTAAATGTATTCATTCTAGTATCATGACACAAAATATAACTCATTTTAACTTAATTCAACTATTTTATAGCGATATTGAAATAAGTTAAAATGAGTGAGAAAAAGGTTTGGCCCATGGGCAGGCCCATGGGCGAGAATATGTTCCTTTACTCAAACCTCATGTTTTTGTTTCGCAAATTATACATTAAATGTATTTATTCAAGTATCATGACACAAAATGTAACAAAATTAAACTCATTTTAACTTAATTCAACGATTTTATAGCGATATTGAAATATTTCGCCCATGGGCGAGAAAAAGGTTTGGCCCATGGGCGAGAATATTTTCCTTTACTCAAAACTTATGTTTTTGTTTCGCAAATACATGCGCGTGTTTTTACCATTTTCATTGCACATAATGTAACTCAATTTTACTTAATTCAGCTATTTTATAGCGTTATTGAAATATTTAGCCCATGGGCGAGAAAAGGTTTGGCCCATGGGCGAGAATATTTCCCTTTGCTCAAAACTCATGTTTTAGTGTCGCATATACATAAAGGTGTTCTTAGAAGTTTCATGTCACATAATTTAACAAATTTTAACTTAATTCAACTAGTTTATGGCGTTATTGAAATATTTCACTCTGGACGTGAAAGATTGGCCCATGGGCAAGAATATTTACCTTTGCTCAACAGTTTTAGTTTCGCAAATACATAAAGGTGTGTCTACAAGCATGACACATGATTCAAATATTTTACGGCGTTATTAAAATATTTCGCCCATGTTTTCGTCAGTCCCTTTAAAGCATCAACTAACCGTGTGCAAAGTATATTGTATCGTGTTAAATATACTTTATATTATATCATTACATTACTATTTAAAGATATACCTGCTGTCGGTCAATTACGATCTACCACACCACGCGTGAATAAACAGTTATGCAGGTGGGCAAACACCTAGCCTGAAAATGTTTATTTTTTTGTGGATACATGTTTTACAAATGTTCGTTGATATGTGGATATATTAAGCACAAAGACAAACAAATGTTTATGAAAGATGAATTAGTACCTTGATATATTCATCAAGATGTGTATCATCGTTTAATGGGGTAGGTATGAAATATACAGGTACGCGTGCGCGTATTTTAATGAAAAAAACTATTCGTCTTTTATTGCATAACGTTTGGCTGAATATCTTACATTCTAACGAAATCTCGAAATAATTATTTAATTACATGCGGTGTCGAACTGACCAGTGGGAATTATGTTTCAATGCGATTGAGGAAAACGTGAGTGAATATTGTGACCCTAAAGCACCTTTTAACTGCATTGGCACTTTGGGTATGAAAATGGTAACAGTTCAGAAAAAAAACACAGCCTTCTTATGATAATTCTCATATTCTCATTAGGACGTTGTATCTAATTACAGTGTCGGCGTTATTTACAAGTGATTCTACAATACCTGCTGTCGGTCAATTACGATCTACCACACCACGCGTGAATAAACAGTTATGCAGGTGTTGCTGTGGGCAAACACCTAGCCTGAAAATGTTTATTTTTTTGTGGATACATGTTTTACAAATGTTCGTTAATATGTGGATATATTAAGCACAAAGACAAACAAATGTTTATGAAAGATGAATTAATGCCTTGATATATTCATCAAGATGTGTATCATGGTTTAATGGGGTCATTCAATAAACGTATGTTTGGAGAAGATATCAAAGGAGCCGCCCAATATACACAGTGTCGTCCGGTGAACTACCACCCCACCCTGTCCATAAGAGTTATGTAATCGATACACAAATATATTTGATGCGATGTCAGTGTGGAAGGAGTTTGAATAACGTCCGCCACTGGCCACAGAAATCCTCAAAGTATAGTAACAATCAACAAGGTCAATGCCGTACTAATTACCTAGTGACGCACGTAACAACGACTGCCAATAGGGAAAATGGTGAAAACAAATTGAAATAGATTTTAATAAAACATTATTGTACTGAATAACTTGCAAAAGCGGTGCCCAAAATTGTTTGACCGTGTTATGTGTGTTGTAGACTGACGAATAGCATGTAATTGTCATGCTGTACGCATGGTGTCATATACAAATTCAGATATACAACCGATATGAAACTGAGAACTGAGATGCCAAGTACAACCTGCATTCACACATGGAAGCAATATACTTGTTTGTATGCCCTCTCCTCTGAAAAATGTATCACTAAAGTATTTGCATTGTAATAAATAAAGTAATGATAAAACTTGGTAAGTTGGTAGGTCTCCGACAGATATGATTTTCAGTTTTTTTGCACCTTTGATTGATACGGATTACGTACATGTAGTCTAGTCACTGTCTCTAATGTATCTGCTTGTTAAAAATTTCAAATGTCCTGTTATGGCACTGTTCCTAAAATAAGGCAGTTTCTTTTATCGGGTATAAATAGTTGATTCGTCTTGTCACGCAGTCATTTTTACTTGATCGAATGATTTCCACAAAAAATTCCGGCAGAGAGTTTTGTATTTTATTATATACATGTATTGTTAATTGTAGAAGATGCTTACATCACTGTATCTCAGAACGCAAATCTGATAACATTCAAACATGTAATTAGTACACAGTTAATTGTTACATATAAATTCCTGCATATTCCTTTTTTAACAAAAAGCCTACATGTATACTGAAATCGGTGTCCACTGTTAAAAGGGTATTAGTGCAGTCGGTCATGGGGCCCGTCCTCATTTCGCCTACACCTCATTTCGCCTACACCCTTATCAAAACAAATTTACAGCTGACTGCACATGTCAAGTGCTCTGTTACCTCTAAAATAATGAACTGACCCAAAAGAAGGTTAAACAGACAAGACAATCTTGAAGCTTCATACATTGTTTAATAGCTGATATTTACATTATGCAGTAATAATAATAATGACTCATGATTACTGTAGCTTTAGTACATATCCAACGGCATCAAGAAATTGCATTACAGTTTTTCTTCCACTAAGAAGCTGTGTCTTTAGTCTTTCAATTCTTTCGTCATGGTAAATGGAGAGACAATAATAAGGTGATTAATTATAGTCTGTTGCAGAATATGCGGTATAAGTGTAGTCATTTATACATATTCACATTACACATATACAGATGAAATACACGATATGATACAGTGCAAGAACAAATTAAGATACGGTTTCTATTAAAAATAATTTTTCGATTATGGATTTAATTAGCATGTTTAAATTTTCAGGCCAACACGGTTGAGATACAGCATCGGCATACTCAACTGGAGTTGTTTTCTGCCGGTCGTAAGTTCTTTGTTTGACTGAGCACACTTGTGTCGGTGTTGCGATATTTTCTTCTCTTTGTTGGCAGCCTGCCACCGGCCTGAATTTTGAGAAAGGTCTCAGCATGGGACTGTTAATTTCATCTTAATGATGTCTACAAGCTTACAAACTTGTAGATGTTGGGGCGGTTAGGACCAAATTTTTTTCAGCTCAGAGTTATAGTGGTCCTGGAACCCACAGTGTCAAACAGGTTCTGCACAATACGTCCATCAGATTCTACCGTTCAGCAACATTGTCACTGAATTTCAGAACTCTGGCATGATATAATAATCAAGGATTTCGAAGGTGAACGAGGGGAAAGGCAGACGCACGTGGATTTACTCTCATGTTATTATTGTCTGGAGTTCACAATTTTGGGCATTTCATAAACTAATTGAACAGAGTTCACCTGCACATGTCCACTTTAGTGATACAGACTGTAACTGTCTAGCTCTTAATCCCTTATAACAACGGTAACAACAACCAGGGTGAGGACACAGTAAGGTTAAACCGTGTCCAAAAGACAATCTCAGGTGGCTAACGCCATATCTCCCATCAAGTCAGCTCTGTTTTTAAGCGCATAATTATGTTTTTACATACTGAAATAAAAGGAATTAAAAAAAATCATATTTAACAAACCTACACATTACCAAATACAAAACTTTATAACCCTTTCTAGACTTCGTTCCAATTAACCTGGATCATTCAACTCGCTCGCGAAGGTCGTATACGACTTTAAAGTGAATACGTCTACAGTGTATAAGTAACTTTTAACTGTATCATATATACTCATGATAAGCAATTATTTTCGTTCCTAATTCAAATGAGCACATCCTAAGGCTAAATCTGCAAAAGGACAGACAAAATATTTCTTTGTACAATGCAAACGATACAAACGTAGCGGCGGATAATAGAGACAATGATTTAATAATCTGCAATATATCATTTGTTCTCGTTCAATCTATTGTACATATTGAAGTGATTAAAAAGTTTCAAGGA